CTGCACAACTTGGGACCGAATCGATCTTCGCACTAGACCGAACGGGCCGCCATCCGGCGGATATTTTGTTGTTGTAGTCTAATAAGTTTATCCACCGCCACGTACCACGGTGTTTTAAACCTTGTGGTTCTCAAGAGGACCAACCTTCGCAGTACACCAGGGGGCCTTTTTGGTGGCACATGTGGCAACCCTGACAAGAGGACCAACCTTAGCAGTAGACTAGGAGGCCATTTTGGTGGCATATGTGGCACCACTGACAAGAGGAACAACGCGTAACCACCAAGACATCAGGTTGTAGGAATTGAGCGCTACACATAGACTATGATGCTGTGGGTTGCTTGTGCCCAAAGCTTTGCGTGGATTGCATGTCAAACGCTGAACGTGTACAGGCCCAGAGCGCGGTACGCATGTTCCGGCAAAGTCATCTTGGGGCAAGCAAAGAGGACAACCTGTCGTCTCGAATGTGCTGCATGCATGTCGAAGACACCACAGCTTCCTACTTCGAGTTTGTCGTTCGTGTGTCGGGTGATGTTGTCCAGACGGACGACGACCACAAGGGGGCGCCGCATAGTCAACCGGGAGATATGGATCGCGTGCCAGGACCCAATCAGACCAGCAACAGAGAGACGGGACGGCCACGGGAGGGGGGCGAACCACAAGGATTAAAAAACCGTGGTACATGGCGATACCTTTATTCAGCAGCAAAACGTCCGCCGGGTGGCGTTCCAATTGGCCGGGTGCGCTGATCGATTCGGTCCCACGTTGTATACAGGACAGAGGGGCGATTTTTTTACAACATGATACAGTACAATACACGTACAGGAGAGGTGATTCGAAAAACAGAGTCAGAGCAACGAAGGCGAAAAGGCCCTCTTCTTTTGTGGGACAGCGTTCAGAATGCCGGAAACGGACAAGATGACAAGATGACACGATGTCAAGCTCATGGTCTTAGGGATTGGGCCGCCGTGCGTGGACGTTTCAAAAATAATTGATCAGCGTCGTACTTCTGTCTGTCTGTGTACGTTTCGTATTTCATTAAACGTTGTTGCCCTTCGATGTCGTCCACAGACAACGGCACTACTTTGCGACTTGATTTTGAATTCCTCATGCATGCACGGACACCTTGTATGTTCGTTGGCCAGCCCTTCACATTATCACCGCAAGAGCTTGACTTCGCAAACGTCCAGCAAGTCGGAGACTCGATCTATTGTAGTATCGGTGGCTCGGCATGTATATCCGCCGCGTTTCAACGACTATATCCCGGTTTCGTTCTCGTACCAATTCGGCGAGACCACGTTTTGGACGACTCTGTTGCAGCTTCCGACGTATCGTACACCTCACGCCTCCATCCGCTTGTCTAACACGTTTCCTTCAGTGGGATACTCAAACGCAAACGATGTACATCAGACTGTGAAAATCCTTATCGTTCTCCCAAAAGAGGATGAAAATCGTTTTGAGAGGTTTCGTCTGGCATCATCAAAGCGCTGTAGTTCGCCTACCAGGTGCCTCTCGTTGTTTTGGCAGCGTCGACGGCGCCAGCGGCTGACGAAATATACGTATCGTCAGGGTCGTCGACCACCACTCATCGCTCTTTGTCTATCGACGTTTTCTTTGACACGCGCAGCATGTGTGACTGCTGTGCAGCTCATCTCAACAATACCAACACAACAAGGGTCCGTTCCCTGTTTTCGCTACAGTAGCCCCATGGCCCTCTCGCTCACACCGATGTTTCGTTCACCTGATAGCCTATGGCGCACGATGTCCGCTAGTCCTTGCAATGACAGATAGAACTACTCGTTGCGTCCAGATGGGCTCCTTCGCTAAGACTAAGATGTTGTCCGTGTCGCGCGTCGCAAGTGATGTGTTGGGCAGAGGGGAGAGTCAGAGTGAAAGTGGCAAGTGGGGGAGCCCGGACTACGACCAGATCCGGCTCCTCAAATTCGCCTCTTTCTGTCTGAACCCTCGGTTGCACCGAACGGTTCTTCTCGACCACAACGCGGGACCCTTGAAATATCACGTTGTCCAAGAGCGACGTTCAGACTATGTACGAACAGCTTCCACACCTAGAGTTGGAAAGTTGACGACAGAATGGCGGCGGGACATATTGCACTTGGTGTCCGCCTATCAGCTGTCTCCCTCTTCCACTTGCCGCCTACTTGGCGTCTTGTCGATTTTCGCGTACCACTTGATTTGCAACACAACACAACAGGGTATCCGAACGTTGACTGTTTTCACTACAGGCCCTCTCTCTTTCACCGATGTTTCCTTCACCTGATACCCTAAGGCACACGATGTTCGCTGTAGTGAATGATAGGACCTCGGTCTTGACCCAAGACAGGTGTACTCGTTGCACCCAGAGAGACTCCTTCGTTGGGATGTCTGCCTTGTCCGTGTCGCGTGTCGCACGTTGTCTATTAGGCGAAGGAAGGGTGAGTGAGAAAGTAGCAATGTAGGGGACGCCCCGACTACGACCAGATTCGGCTTCAAAATTATTACGCCTATTTAAGAAATGTGTGAAATGTCGAGGTGCCCTGTACCCAAGGGTCGTCTGCAGGCGGTTAAGCCTGTGTGCAGTCGCCAAGACTGAAGTTGGTATCATGGTTGGGACTTTCGGTATTGCCTGCCGGTGGCACCGGAGACTAGCTCAGTCGCAGAGTTGAGATGTTGAGGGATAGTTGGGAGTGAGCCTGGTGGGGCTCGCAACACCTCGTGATCTCCCTACAACTTAATTCCTCTGACCAACCATCAATTCATTCACGAACTACATGTTACGTTTCCCAAACGTCAATTATCACACCGCACCTACGATAGCAAACACACAGCTGCATCTACGGTAAGCTACCTTGGGGAGGGGATCGTTTTTATTTCTGAAACCAGACCCCGCGGGGGGAAATTGGCGTACCGCGGGGGGTAGTATTTTTTTTTTCAACGCTACCCCGGGGGGAAGCCCGAAGCCCCCCCCAGGGGGTTGTCCAAAATAATTATGGTCCACACACCACACACATAGAGAGTAGCGAAACTGAGATGGATGAGGTCTACGAGCAAGAGTTCAACAAGCAGAGGGGGGAGGAACGTCAGAGCAACAAAGACGAAGAGAAAAAGACAGCAAGGAGGGCAGCAGCTGGGGGAGTTTGTCTCGTCCTGCGAATGATTCCAAGAAGAGGAAGGACCCGCCTTCCAGAGAGTACCCGCCAGCTCGAAGAGCAGATCTGCAAATGATTTTTCCGTCCCATATCATGCTTTTTGTGCTCCGCGATGCAACAAGACCGACTCAGAGAATAAGGGGAATACATCCCCCCCGGGGGGAACTCGTGGGAAAATGGTACCCCGGGGGGGAACTGACATACCCTGGGGGATTTGTTTTTTTGTCGAAAACGATCTACCCCGGGGCTAAGTCAATGAACTCATGCTTCCAGGCCGAAAAGGTAATGGGGGGGGGGGGAACTCCAACCCGGGGGGGAAACTCCGTAGCTTACGGCATTCTACTACACACATCCTACAGCAGTATAATACGCATTTCAACACCTATTTCCGAGGGAAGCCACTGTAGACTATCTGTATCATACCGAGATATCTCGTATGTATTGCTTTCATGCTGAATACTACTTGAAGTACTACAGACCTAAAGATCAACTTACCTCTCACGTTCACTTGCATAGAACAAGTGGTGTTCATGTCAGTTCTCCCAGATTGATCCTACAGTACAGTAATTGCAACGCACATCCGAATTGCATCGAACAATTACTACAAGACGGAATGTTTACGACAGGAACATGGAACCCTTTATTTTCACACTATTCTACAGGCATTGGAAGGCTCAGTGGGCGGCGGGGCGCAAATCGCAAGGCGGAAGCGGGAAGGAGTGCAACGTACGAGCGAGCAACTACAGAAGCATGGAGAAGCGGACGGAACAGGTGGTGTCGACTGTTCGTAGCGTCGAAAGCGGTGGCGAGTTGAGGAAGTCTTGGGGAACGTGTGCGTGCGCCGTCGAAAAAACACCCAAGGACGTATTTCAAACATGCGTATCTCAGCACAAAGTACAAACATTTTCAACCGAACCACGGTCGATGGCATCATACGACTACACTTTACATAATGTAGGGCAACATGTTTTGGCATTTTCTCGTGTACCTTGACAAGGGTTTGGATTTTAACTCCGCGGGCAAAGTAATGGTTGCCAGGTTTCAGAAGGCATCGGGCGCACAGTTCCACAGAGAGAGAGACGATGAACCAGATTCAGCCGTGGCAAGGTTGGGGTCCATCGGAAAGACGAGAAATCGCGTAACGGGAGAGTGAGTGGCAGCCACGCCGGAACCAACTTGCCGTGTTCGTCCAAGCAAAGACATGAGCGAGCAGCACAGGACCGTGCACCTCGCCACCACTCTCATAACCGCGGACATGCAGTCGGGGGGGGGGGGGCGGGCGGCAAAACAGTGGGGGCGAACCGCCAGTTGATGGGCCTCTTGGGCAGTAGCGGAGGGGACCACGGCACGACATGTGGAGAGGAATGTCAGGGATACGGAGGAGGGACAGGGGTGACGTTTCTGAGCGCGACCGCCGCAGCATGTATCATGGGATGGGGCGGCATGTGACGAGTGTGCCGAAAAAAAGGCGAATGAATGCGCGCATGGGGCATACACGGGGAAGAGCGGCGGGTTGGCGAAGCCAAAGTCAGGATGAAGGGGTCGGAGGTTACATTCCAAGAGGGTTAATGGCGATACCAAGAAGAACTGGACAGGGGGGGGCGGAAGACGGGGACCTATCGGCCGGCAAACCAACAATGAAACGAGAGGGCGGGCCACGTATTCATACGATGATCGGGCAGGGAGGGCAGGGGAGGATGACAAGGATGGGATACTACAGCCAAGGGAACAGGTCGAAACGCCCAAGACGGGGAGAGATTCCTCGACCATCTTACTCACGACGACCGCTTGTAGACGAGAAACAAAAAGGAGCAAATAATTCGGTGGTCTGTTTCCGCAAGGGGGGGAGGAGAACATTCCGAAAATGCAGTTCTGGAAATGAGGGAAATCTCGAAAACGGGACCGCAGAAAAAAACGCACAACAATCAAGTCAAAAACCGACTTTGTGGGAAACTGCGACAACAACAACAAAAAAACGATATGCAGAGCCAGACTTCTTATTGCTGAAGGAACTGAATCTCCCCAAAACGTGGCTTCAGAACACCAGCAGCAACAACAACATGTCGGGAGGCAACGGTGCAGAGCGAGAGAGAAAAAATACTCACCCAAGGGTTCATTCAGCACGTCTTGTCCGCAACCAAAAGGTCAACTCCAACGCGGCCGGCAAACTCTGACGCTCGACTTTCCTTAGCAAACGACATGAACCTCACGGGGTACTGCTGGCACCATTCTCGCTCTACCGTGGGTGTCTCGGCGCTAGCGAAAACTGCTCAGCGTGTATGGACCGTAGAAGGAAGAGGGCTGCGCACGCGTAACTACTAGCGAACACTCGCACGCAGCTATCATTGACCAGCTGCACTCCCGCGGAGTGAAAAAGTACCTTGGGTCATGGTATGCGTAGATAGCACACAGAAGTGTTGCAGCGCGCAGACACTTCGCGGGTTCCCGAATGACGTAGAGTCAAAGGCGACATCGCACAAACCCTGCGACCCGCCCTACGCCCCACCAGAAATGCGATATGCGAGGAACGGCAAAAAACACAGCGCGGCCGTGCTACAAGGCAGAAACTTGGGTGCACCTCCAACGCAAGCGCGGGACTCAGCGGCAACCTCCAACGCGCTAGGTAGGGCCCCGTCCTTTCACGGCCGTCTACGAGCTGCCGCTTGCGGACGGGAAGACGGGGTCCCCAGTCTCCAAGTCCAGCATTCGTTCCTCGTCACCCAACACCCTAGGAGGCCCTCCGGCCTGGGGACAAACGGGACAATTCAAAGACGTGTGCACTGTTGGAGTATTTGTTGTGTGAGGGGGTGGGGGCGGTACGGAGGGCCGAAACAGGACTCCGCTTTTCGCAGTAACCGTGAAAGAGAAAACAGCAACGGGACGAAGAAGCGTGTTTTTTTCAGCGGCAGAGATTGAGAGGCCACGGGGGGGGCAACGGAACCGTAGCAACAGCAGTCTTCTCTGTTCTTCCGAGTCCAATCGTTGTTCCGACTACATCCCCTACCGCGGCCGGCCTTTCAGCATCTGCGCATATTCCGCACGCATCACGCAAACGAAGCACCACCTGGCGTCAACTGAAGAACAGCTCGGAATACCTACTACGCTGTGGTGGCACCCCGCACCCTTTGAAGCGTTAGGAACGGCTGCACTCTGGCGACACCTTCGATATCAACTGTTGTATTATTTCATATATGTCACCTTGGTGTAGTAAACCATCTTGACCTCTCCCACGGTGGGGGTTCTCCCGGTCTTCAAACACGCCTCGTACAGACCCTCGGGCAGACAAGCGTCCGCTTCCCTCGCTGCTTCTAGCGCAGCCGCGCTGTTAACGTACGCGCCACTGGTGCTAGTGCTGCCGTTGCTGAGGGGCAACCGGGTGTGGCCACCAGAGGGTACATACGCGCGAGAGCACAGACAAAGTATTGTTTGGTCAGGACTCGGGAAACGAGCGCTGTGGGGGACATGATACAGGCATGTGATGCGCCTCTCACTCCTGCCCATGGGTAACGCATGAAAAGAAGGATGAGAACACGGTAAGTGCGACGCGTGCGTTACATTGCGTACCGTGAGAAATGTAAATATTCTACTTCTATCTTGGTTGGCGTGACTGCTGTGTCGAGCGGGCGGCATACGGGAAAAAAAATGCCAACCGATGAATTATGAACAAACTCCCAACGCTGGACGATGTCTCGCAAGCCAACGCTAGACGATAGAAACAGGAAATGGGAACGCGGTGGTGGCTTATCTCGCTGAGAAGACTTCCACGCCAGCGTAGGCCACCTAACCACAATACCACCCACGAGCAAGAAGACAACGTACGTCAACCGGCGCGACGAAGCAGGAGAAAAAGGAACAGGCACACGAAAAACCCAGCCAAAAAAAAAAAAAATGACCGCTATGAATATAGTCGGGTTGCCCCCAATAGTCAAGGTACGATATGTGCCAAGCGCTTTCAGCAGGGCACCCTCACTTTTCATACTTATTCACCGTCTTGACTAGTTCTATCTGCGCCAGCCAATTCAACTGCACAACACCCGGCACCCGCACTATCAGGGGGCCCGCACAATAGAAGGCACCCCCGCGAGAAAGGGCACCCGACAACGGTACCTGGTCGAGGAGCCCGCCGGTGCCGGGTAAAACCTCAGCAGGAGCGCCAAGAGCTCCGCCGAGTCGCCCGCAAGGTGGTAGACGACCGCGTTGGGCCCCGCGTCGAACGTGTACGCCGCGCGAATCTCGCCGTGGAAGGCGTTGTAGGCGTGGACGATCCGAATGACGGACCTGCACAGGCCACAACAAAGCCAAGAATGTCGGTCATAAGCGTGTGGTGTCGGTGTTAAGCTTGTCGGCTTCGGTGAAGAGGGGGGCAGAGGAGGCAAGAGGGGCGTATGGGTTTTTCGACGATCCGAACGACGGACCTGAACAAGCCACAACAAACAAGCGTGAATGCTTCGGAGGGGAGGGGGCAGGAGCGCGGAGGTGTGGGGGTGAACCCAACGATACAAACACCGCCCATTATCGATATTGATTGGGCATGACTATCAAAGCTTAACACAGGTAATGCATGACTACTCCGGAACGATGCTATTTTTTGAGACAAAAGAAAGGACCTCGTACTACGGCAATAGCCCATAGCAGCAGCCTCAAGTTCGCAATACTTGCCGCTAGCCCGACAACAACATGGTTACCCATCCTGGATGTACACCACACATTCAGCATCGACGAGTTCACATCCGCTTCATAGCCGTCGGGCACATTCAACAGAAGCCCCAGGAACTTAACCGTGCGAAAATCCTGCGGGAATCATTTGCTGCTTCTACCTTGCGGTGCGTGCTCCCAGAAAAACGGCGGGATTGGACGCAACGGGACATTTTTCAAGGAGATGGAAGAAGTGTGTGTGACCGGGCTATTCCGGTCTTACCTTGGTACGAGAAGATTCAGCACCTGGTCCGCTGGATCCAGCGGAGGCCAGACGTTCTCAAGAAACGCGGCGAAATTGACACACCGTCCCGCCGGTCTTTACGCCCCGTCTGTCTTTACGCTGTGGCCGCCTTGCTTTCAGCTGCAACTGCCTACACTACCGCCGCTTGCCCGTGACACGAACCCCAGGTCCCGAAAATAGGTTGACTGGGTACTGGGTAATCCCAAACACATAAAACATGAGCGAGCGGGAACAGACAGGCAACCGTGCCCGCGATCAAGATTCGCAGCCAATCAAGGGCGGCTGAGGCAGGAAAGCAATCTCGCACCCACCTGCTGACGTCGTTCATATAAAATATGGGGGGGTAGGTGTCTAGGCAGGTGGCGTGGAACTGATTGCTGTCCTGCATGGTGATCTTGCCGAAAGTTGCGAAGTCCTTCTCCAGGTAGGCCTTCTCGATCTCCGCTAGACGGGGCTCCACTACCTGGACCGGGGGGGGGGGGGAGGGGGGGCGGGGGGG